ACTGTGCTATCTTCTTGCCTCTCTCTTCTGACAAGAAAGGAAGAGTCAGGCTGTCAGGCTGCTTCCTCAAGGACAAAGTAGATTACTGCAGTGTTGCCTAGAGAAAGCAGAGCAGAGGCAGGGCCTGGCGTTGGGGAGGCAGCCGGACCTCAGGAAGAGGGAGTGAGCAGGCCATGCAGAGGTCTCTTTCAGACCAATCCCAGTAGTTCTGAGCCTACCTTCTGAGCCCAAAGCTCACAGACACTGTGCCCTATTCCTCCTACCTCCGAACGGAAGTCAGAGATGTAGTCAACACAAACACATTATTGACCATTCCACTTCACTCGTGCAAAAGAAGAAAACATCAGTCATTTAGCTGCTTCATGTCATCAAATAAGTAGTGTTTGGGTCCTAGCCTCCTGCCGCAACATACTTAAAATGGGAACAAAGGGGCAGTATCACAATGGCAGGTGTTGTGGTGATTATGTAGATTTAAATCACTCTCTAATTATATACCTTTTTGTTTTAATTAAGAACAAAACTTTCAAGATCTTAAAAAAAAAAAAAAAAAGATAGCTTCATAGCTTTCATCTCCAAAGCTATCTTTGCTTCCCACAGCCAGCTCTTTGTTGGCTTTAGGCTGTTCCTTAGCTGGTGAAACTGACTGACAGATGCAGCCCACTCCAAAGAAACAACCCTTTCTCAGAGAATGGGTGATTTGCTGTAACTGTTTAAATGCTCTGCTTAATATCAAACATCAATTAAGAAAAACAAAAATACGGCTTTGTGACTTTGAAAGCACCTGTGTAGTGTCTTTTTGATAATATTGTTTTTAAATGTTTTTAAATTAATCTGGAAATCCTTGACTGACAGAGACGCCATTACAGAAAAATGTCTTTTTGGTAAGGACTATTCAAAATAATATGAGTAGGATATGCCTGCTTTTGTTCTTTGCTCTATTTTTATATTTCCATGGATAATAATGAATAATTCCCTGTTTGTGCTGAATTCTTGTTCTTACAAATAGTATTTAGTAGTAGAGAATCCATAAGAGAAGATGTGAGTTGTTGCACCGTGTGTGTCTTTTTTGAAAGCACAAAAATGATGCTGTCATGCTGTTTCACAGAAGAGGCAATAGGAAAATCAGCAGGCCAGGGCGAATTGCTGAGATTGGTGATGAACTGAACCACAGGCTTCCAGGGCTGTTGTGAAGCAAGGGGGCATTCCTGGGAAATGAGGTCCAGGATTGTTCCTTAGTCCCATCCCCACTTTTGCACTCCAGCTAACTCTCTTATCAGACTGTCATCACGTTAATGGCTTGGTGGCAGATAGCCCTTAAGTGACACATACCTCTGCTGTAGGCCATATTGCTGAGAGGTGCTTGCCCCTTATCGCCAGCTTGGTCCCATCTGTCCAGACAGGTGATTGTAAACACAACTGTGATGATGCCAGTGTGGGGTACGTTCTGGAAAGTGTTCCTTTTAATCCCTGGCCCCAACCAGCAGTTTCCCATTGGCCCTATTAGAGGAGCTCATGTGAGGACCACCAGAGGCTTCAGTTGGAAAAACCACATTAGTAATGATTTTGACAGAGGCAGAGTTTGAGCTCCTGATAATTACTATTCCACCAAACCAACTGAGACTTGGGACTGCAATTAAAAGAAACGATCTTCCACATATAATGGCTTTCACACTGCATGATACTATTAAATAACCATCATTAGCTACTAAAGTATGTACCGCCCATTTTCCAGAGCCTTTTCTCTGCCAAGAAATTTAAGACCAAGAATGATCAATGAAGGAATCATCAGCATGATAATTGTTGATATAGGACATGCAAATTGAAATTGTTCAGAATGATTTAAATGTGTAAGAAATTATTACAGATGGTGGTATTACACAGATATTAAAACTTTCCTTGCAAGAGACCGGAAGTGCATTTCTTTGTATCTACATCTTAAGGGCTGGAACAAAAGGAAGATCCTATCTATGGCATACCTCAGAAAAATCAAACAAGGAGGTGTTGGGCAATTTTCCAGGGACTGTGCTGGGTGCCGGGGATATAAAGATAAGTAAAATATAGTCACTGTTCTCAGCAAGCTTACAGATTTAGAAGGGAGGAGAGATAAGTACACAAAGAAATCACAGCACAGTGTGATAAATACATTAATCCATGTGTGCACCTGGTACCTGAGAGCACAGGGGAGTGCAGCTTGTAGAACTGAGATGGGGAGGAAGAACAGTTCACTTAAGAATCTGCAACTTCCTAAATTAGGACTTTTCCTTCTTTCCTTCTTGCAGGCCATCATCTCTCTTCTCTCATGTCTAGAAATGTTCATATCACAGAAGTATAGAAAAGATAGTAAACAAAGAAGGAGAGACCACAGGACAGTTAACCTTCACAGGGGAAACAAGCCTTTCCTAAGCTTTCCCAGGCTGTAGATATGTGAATTAAAAAAAAAAAAAAAAGCACCCGGGTGCCTTAGTGGGTTCTGCCTTCAGCTCAGGTCATGATCTCAGGGTCCTAGGATTGAGTCCCGCATCAGACTTTCTGCTAGGCAGGGAGCCTGCTTCCTCCTCTCTGTCTGCATCTCTGCCTACTTGTAATCTCTTTCTATCAAATAAATAAATAATCTTTTAAAAGATAAGTTTTTAAACAAGACATGAAGACTGTGGAGTTCTGCATTCTCCTAGGCCATGCTCCTTACACATTATAACAATGCCATGCCCACATTAGTGTTCTTGTCTCATCAAGAGACATTAAATTAAGGTCTGAGAGGAAGGCAGATTCCTAACTGGGCTCCTGTTCCTAATGTAATTTAAAAACAGCTGCAATCTCAGTCTCATATTGTTTAGCCCAGAAATGCTGCCTTTTGCTCAATTGTTTTTGTTTGTTCATGGATTAGTTCACAGATACAATGTTAAGAAATAGTGACTGAAAAGATTCCATATAACACTGCATGGCTCATACCCATCTCGATGGCTCTCTTTTTATTGAAGTAAAATTCACATGACATAAAAATCATAATTTTAACCATTTTCAAAATGCACAATTCAGTGGCTTTTAGTACATTCACAGTGCTGTACAACCACCACTATTATCTAACTCCGGAACATTTCCGTAACCCAAAAAAGAAACCCCACATGCATTATGCGATCATTCTCCATTCCTCTCCCCTCAGCCCCTGCCAAACTCTGGTCTGCTTTGTCTCTATGGATTTGCTTATTCTGGACATCTCAGATAAATGGAATCACGCAATACTCGACTTTTTCTGTTTTGCTTCCTTCGCTTTGCATAATGTTTTCCAGGCTCGTGTGTGGGTACTTCATTCCTATCTACGGATGGATAATGTATTGCGAGGATACACCACGTTGTGTTTATCCATTCCTTAGTTGATGGATATTTGGTTTGACTCTTTGGCTATTATGAATGATGCTGCCATGAGCATGTTTGTTCAAACACCTATTTTCAATTTGTTGGGGCAAATACCTAGGGGAAGCATGTTCCTTGGTCAAATGGAAGTTTGTTTTAATATCTGAATAATCATCAAACATTCTAAAGCTGCTGCATCATTTTTTTATTCCCACTGGCAACATATAAGAGTTCCAATTTCTCCACATGCTGGCCAACATTTTTTTTTTCCTTTAAAATAATTCTTAGAGCCATTCTAGTGGGTGTAAGTGATATTTCCTTGTCAATCTTTTTTTAATGGATAACTAATTCATCATAGAAACCACTTGAGAAACAAGCAAGCAAACAAACACATTCATGTCGGGTCTTAAGTTTTCTTCTTTCATATATGAGGCTACCACTAAGTGGAGAGATTTCCCTAAGGCGAGCTGCAAAATCAACATATGAGAGTCTGAACAACAGAGCTCTGCTTTACCGGCTCCCATCCTCCCCCACCCCCCAGCAACCATGATCAATGCCAAGGCATCTAAATGATGACTGTTGAAATGTCAGCCCCCTGAAGAATAGCCAGGTGTCTTTAGTCAGTGACTGGCAAAGAGGCATCCAAACCATTATGAGGCTTGGCTTGTAAAAGGCTCTTCTAGGGGGAAAAAGGCCATTTTTTAAAAACACTTGATGAACATATCCCTCCTCCTCCTCCTCCCTCTCCCTCTTCCCCTCTAACTCCTCCTCCACCTCCTCCTCCTCCTCCTTCTTCTTTTGCCTCCATATGTTCAGCATTTTTTACAGAAAATAAAACACAACTAACCATCATTTGGTAAAAGGTAAAAAGGATTTGTTTAGATAAAAGTAATGTGGGGCGCCTGGGTGGCTCAGTGGGTTAAAGCCTCTGCCTTCAGCTCAGGTCGTGATCTCAGGGTTCTGGGATCGAGCCCACATCAGGCCCTCTGCTCCTCGGGGAGCCTGCTTCCTCCTCTCTCTCTGCCTGCCTCCCTGCCTACTTGTGATCTGTCAAATAAAGAAAATCTTAAAAAAAAAAAAAAAGTAATGGGTTAAACACCTTGGGCCTTATGAAATTTCAAATTCCTTCCTGGCACATTTCTCATTAATAATTCAGTGTCCATTGCACACCTTCCTGTGAGGGCCTGACGTAATTTATCTTTGACTGGTATAATCAACATACTTCAGAAGCTACTCTTTTCCTTTCACGAGCATTTAGTTTTGAGAATTAAAACACACATATGCAAAAGATTGTCCATAGAAAACAGGGCAATAGGACTTACACTTCTTATTTTTTCCTTTCAGGTTCTGCATCCATTTCTGCATGCTGAACTGTCTGGTACAAATAGCTTCAGTGAGGAGTTTAGTTTCTGTCTCAGGTGGCCTCTCCTGAGTGTGAAACTGTACTGATGGGAGGGAAGGAGGAGACCCAGGGCGGGGGTGGGGGGGGGTGGGGGGTGCCCCACTCAGTGGAGAGGAAGGAAGAACTAACAAGAAACTCCAAGACAAAGCTAGAGTTTGAAAGAGGCCCAGCACTAGGCGCTGCAGGTCAGCCTTTCTGGAAACAGGCAACTTTCAGAGAAAGACTTGATGGGAGTTTGAAAAGGGACAGGAGGGCTGGATGAAGTGATCCTTCCCTGAACTGGAACCAGCGGACAGCCAAAGGGAGCCTAGGCTAGGGATAGTGGGAAGTCCCAGAGGTGGTTAAAAATCATGGTAATCAAACATTCATTCTTTAACACAGAAACCATTCAATTCGTAAGTGAAGCAGGCGAGCTTTAGGCGTGCCTGCATGGATTTCTGTCTCTTACAAGTTTAGGAACCCGAACTAGAACGCGGTCACACGTCCAGGGGCCTCAGAAAAGGCTGAAATTCTAGTAATCACGGAGAGACCCGAAGGTGTTCCTACCAGTTAGTGGAGTTGGTGACAGGTATGGTCACCTGCATGGCGGGTTCCACTTGGGTTTAGAGGAGTTGGCATCCTTGCCCTCCCAGGCCTTTACACTCTCCTCCCCCGGGGCCCGCCAACTCTCCCGGGTACAAAGTACAGCAGGGACGCAGGCGGAGCCTTTCCCAGCGGCGCAGCCATATCTTTCCCCAGTGAACACCTAGATGGATTTCCAATATCGCGCCTGGCACGTTCGGGAGGGAGCCTCGGGCTCCTTGCGTGCTTCCAGCCGCGCGTCCTCCTTTCTGCAGTCTATATTCCTCTGGGAGATGCAGGGGGCTGTGGGCACTACAAGCTTTATTAACAGATTCGCAATGGTTTACTCAGGCCCCTAAATCACTCCCTCCCGCGAAGAGCTGCCTGCGGTGCTGTAACGCAGAATCTCCTAACGCACGGTTAGGATTTTGTCCTTCCTCCTCTTAACACGGCTCAGGGTCAGTTTCAGCGACTCTAAGAGTATCTGCGTGGGCGCCTGTGCGGGGGTCCGGCCGAAAGAAAGGAGTTGGACTGCGAGAAGAACGTCACCGTGCCACCAGACCGCACAGGCACTTTGCACGGGCCATCTACGCGTCGGTCTGGAGGTAGCGCGCCCTGGGTAAGGGGGGCCGAGAGCTTCCGCGGCGGGTCTGGACCGGCAGGGCTAGCGGGAGCGGGAGGTGGGGGCTTTGGGCCCCAGACAGTTGGATGAAAGTGGAGTTGGGGGTCTCTCAGGACGGGGCAGCAACTGAGGGAAACTGAGATGAACTCCAGACATCTGTGCCCGGGGTCTGCTTCACCGGATAGGAGCCGGGTGGGGTGGGACAGAGTCTACACCTTTGGTTCCCACCCACCCTCCAGGAAGGCGGAGAAACTCCCCACTTCTCCCTGAGGGACGGGTATAGGGTACTGCAGGGGACCCCCCCCCCAACCCGAAGCAGCGGCTGGAGTTGATCCGAGCACAGGATTGGGAAAGAAAAAAAATTGGGCGAGAGGTGGTAAGCCACCTATATCGCCTTCCTCCCTCTTTCTCTCCCACACGCCTCCCTTTTCGTAGCTGCTGACGCGCTGGTGGTGTCTATTAATCATTCACCAGCCCAGAGCCGCGCCACTTAATGGCTGTGCGGCGCGGGGCTCCAGGATCCTGGCCTCCCCTCTCCACGCTCGCTTGTGCCCAGGCGCCCCGGAGCTGCAAGCGGCTGCCCGCAAGCCGCCGCTGGGCAATGCGCCCCGCCGGCGCCGGTCGGAGCCAAGCTCTCCACAGCCGCTGCGTGCTACCCCCAGGTGTCCGGCAGCAGTGAGCTGCGGGCAGGCGGGCGGGGTGCCTAGTGAGGGCGCAAGCGCCGGGGGCGCGAGGAGAGCGCCCCAGACTCAGTAGCCCCATCGGCCCCCAGCAGCTGAAATGTTCCCCAATGGCACTGCCTCCTCTCCTTCCTCTCCTAGCCCCAGCCCGGGCAGCTGCGGCGAAGGCGGCGGCAGCAGGGGCCCCGGGGCCGGCGCTGCGGACGGCATGGAGGAGCCTGGGCGAAATGCGTCCCAGAACGGGACCTTGAGCGAGGGCCAGGGCAGCGCCATCCTCATCTCTTTCATCTACTCCGTGGTGTGCCTGGTGGGGCTGTGTGGTAACTCCATGGTCATCTACGTGATCCTCCGCTACGCCAAAATGAAGACGGCCACCAACATCTACATCCTGAACCTGGCCATAGCCGATGAGCTGCTCATGCTCAGTGTGCCATTCCTGGTCACCTCCACGTTGCTTCGCCACTGGCCCTTCGGCGCGCTGCTCTGCCGCCTCGTGCTCAGCGTGGACGCAGTCAACATGTTCACCAGCATCTACTGTCTGACTGTGCTTAGCGTGGACCGGTACGTGGCCGTAGTGCACCCCATCAAGGCAGCACGCTACCGCCGGCCCACCGTGGCCAAGGTAGTGAATCTGGGCGTATGGGTGCTATCGCTGCTTGTCATTCTGCCCATTGTGGTCTTCTCGCGTACGGCGGCCAACAGTGATGGCACGGTGGCCTGCAACATGCTCATGCCTGAGCCCGCTCAGCGCTGGCTAGTGGGCTTCGTGTTGTACACATTTCTCATGGGCTTCCTGCTGCCCGTCGGGGCCATCTGCCTGTGCTACGTGCTCATAATCGCCAAAATGCGCATGGTGGCCCTCAAGGCCGGCTGGCAGCAGCGCAAGCGCTCGGAGCGCAAGATCACCCTAATGGTGATGATGGTGGTGATGGTGTTTGTCATCTGCTGGATGCCTTTCTATGTAGTGCAGTTGGTCAACGTGTTTGCGGAGCAGGACGACGCCACGGTGAGCCAGCTGTCGGTCATCCTGGGCTACGCCAACAGCTGCGCCAATCCCATCCTCTATGGCTTCCTTTCGGACAACTTCAAGCGCTCCTTCCAGCGCATCCTGTGCCTCAGCTGGATGGACAACGCCGCCGAGGAGCCTGTCGACTACTACGCTACGGCCCTCAAGAGCCGCGCTTACAGCGTGGAGGACTTCCAGCCGGAGAACCTCGAGTCCGGAGGCGGTGTCTTCCGTAATGGCACCTGCACGTCTCGGATCACGACTCTCTGAGCCTTGGCCACGCAAGGACCCTGCGCAAGGCAGGAGGAGGAAAATGAGGAGGAAGGGAGGCCGGGTGCTAGAGGTGAAAGTATCCCAGGCGTCTGGGTGCGGTGGGGCAAAGTGGGGCTAAGACACTGTGTGCGAGTGGGGTGGAGAGACCCGGGAAAGTCGCGCGACAAAGGTGGAATAGGGCACTTTGCTTATAAATTGGGAAGGCTTGCTGGCCCCTTTCTCCTCGTCTGCTACTTTCGCTCCCTCCTCCACTGCGCTTGCACTTCTGCGCCCCGCTATGCTCCCCACTCTGTAACTTGGATCTTTCCTTCCGCCCCGTCCTGCAGGTGCAGATCATGAACTCATAAACGTCGTCAACTCAGCCTGACCCTCCGCCCGGCCAGCCGTTATTTTTGTTTGAGCTGAGCCGCAGTTCCCGCCACGGGTTTCCCACGGGGTGAGTCCCCGACTCGCCCTCAGCCCCTCCCTGCCGCGCCCCTCCGCTCGCCAGATTCTGCCTGGTGCCCCTAGCGGAGTCTAGAGAATCACTGCTCTCTGGGCTCAGCTCTGTTTGAAGGAGGACTCGGGAATGAACTAGGCAGTCGGTCTTTTTTCCTACTCTCGGGTGAAGTCGTGCCCTTCCAAGAACCCTTTCACCTCTCGCACTCCACCCGGGGCGGAGCCAGGTGCTTAGTAAAATCGTTCCCGCGCTTCGAGCCCCAGGCATTCTGCAGTCCCCATCCGGAGCAAAAAGGAACGGACAACTAGCGACCCAGGAGTTTTCAGCAGATTCCAGGGTTTGGCGGGGAAGGGGTTGTAATAGAAACCACCCTCTTTTCAGGCTCACAACCAGCGCTTTTGATTTCAAAGACCAAGAGCTGGGCACTCCCGGGACCACGCCGGTCTGAGTTGGTCCCATAGGGCAGGACGCACTTTCCCCGGGGCCGCCGGGGAGTCTGCCGCTGCGCGAGGATTGCTCCCTCCCCTAAGCCGCCGGCGGCGCAGATGTGAGAGCAACCACAGACTTGGTTTGCTGCTCGGGCTTATCTCGGAGACCAGGAGCCGGGGCCGGGACCTCGGTGGCGCCTTTTGAGCCTTGGCCAATCCCGAGCGCGCTGCTGCCGCCCGCAGGCTAAAGAGTGCGACCTGCCTGGCCCCTGAAGGTTGCTGCCTTTCAAGCGGTGCATAATAAGTTATTTTCTTGTTTAACATATTTATTTATTTATTTATTTGTGATGTTTGGAAAGGTGTCTCTGCTTTGCTTTTCTCTACTTGCCTAGCCCAGGCCCTTTCCTTCAGGACACTGGGGATGAGGATCGAGGTGGCAGTGGGGGGAGGCTTTCTCCCCAAAGACCCCTCAAAATCTGTCCTCTTTGTTGGGCCCCCCTTTTTTTTAATCCTTCTATTTTTGCTTGTATTCAGTGAAGTTTGGAGATTCTCTTATACTTTTTCTTATGTAGTCTCTTGTTTGTCTTAATAGTAAATACATAAATGATAACGTGGGTCAGCCACCTCCCTCCCGTGCAGAGTGGAATGTCCTGAATTCCTTTCAACATCACCTTATGTATGGTTTTATTTATATATATATATTTTTACCCATGCCGTCTATTTATCTTGCTCCGTCGTCATGAGTCCATGAAACAATGCGAGGCTGGCTGGAGCACTTTCAGATATGGGCGTTCCAGGGACACTCAAGCCTGGAGCTGAGAAATCTGATGCAGACCAATTGTAATCAGTGCCTAGAACGTCCCTGTTTATGTCCCTGCTTCTTCTAGGTTCTGGCATAGATGATTCTGACAGACAACCTAGTTAACATTGTCACTTCTTTTGAACACATTGAAAGTAGAGTCATTTGTGTCTGTGTTTAACCTCACCAATTACATTGGAAGCCTGAGCAGGGCAAGGACCAATAATTTTACTTCTATGTATTTCCTGTATTGCTTTAGTATGCTGGCATGTACATAGTAGGCACTAAATACATGTTTGTTGGTTGATTGTTTAAGTAAGCCAGAGTGTATTACAACCCTGGGGAGATACTATCTGGGGCTGTCAGGTTCTCTCATTGACATGATACACAATGGTTGAAATCATGGAAAAAGATGTTTTGTGTAATATTTGCTTCAAGAACATTGTGCTTTCCTGAAAGCAGTAACCAAGAATTAAAATGTCTCGTTTTGTTTAAACTAAGGAACAAATATATGCTTTGGTTATACATCATAAAGTTAGATCTGTCCCTTGATAATAATATATATTATTACTCCTTTGGAAAATAGATTTTTAATGGTTAAGAACAATGAAATTCACAAATCTTAAACACTATCCTCTTAAGAGGATACAAATCTAGTGCTCTTAACCTGTTACCATTGTAATATGAACTAAATAAACAAATATATTATGTTGTTGCAAGTTGTCTGACTTTGCCATTTGAATTTTACTGTTTCAAGGGATTAGTTAAAAACACATACATGTGGGCTTAGTTGCTTTGTGTTCCACTTAGATTCTAAGAAGAATGGTTCCAGATTACCTTTGGAAATTTTACCACGATTGGGATTATACTTAAAGTTGTTTTTTTTTAAAAAAGAAAAGTCTATTAGTTCAGAGAAAGAGGAAAAACAACTTTGAGTCAATATGACTGGGAAGCAGTGTACCGGCCTGTATTCTCTATGGTTTGCTGTTGTCACCTAACTAGAGGATATCTCAATCTCCCAAAGACTAAATTACTGTCTACCCTCATTTATGATCTCAGACTTTGTTGTGGGAACTAAGTAATTGCTGACTTACTTAGGGAGAGAAAAAAACAGGAGAGGGAGGGAAAGGGGAGAGAGAGAGAGGGAGGGAGAGAGAGAGAGATAGATTTCCTAAAAGTGTTCCAGAGGAAATGGGTAAAAGAAATAGAAAAATCAGATTTCAACATAAGAGAAGAGAGTCATGTTTTACACTTGGTTCTGTGATAGCCATTTCCACCCCTAGAAGAATTTAAGAAGGTAATAGAGGATTTTTTTTTTTTTAACCAGACTTTATTTTTCAGAGCAGTTTTCTTTTCACAGCAAAATAAGTGGAAAGCAACATTTTCCAAGCAGGCAATAGCAGTAATTCTAGAATCAGAGTGGTGGGTAGGGGGGTTTCAAAAAACTTCAAATGCCCTGTAACTCTAGGCTCTATAGTTCTAAACATTATCTCAATATAACTAAGGATAGCTGGACTTTTGTCCTTTTAAATTGTTTTTAAAAGCTATAGCAAGATGGTAAATTGAACTCGGAACATTACTCCAAGCCCCTTCCAACTGGCTAGCTGGGAGAAAAAAATAAATAAATATCCAAACGTCTAATTGAGTTGATGATTTAAATAGCCGTTTTAAGAAAAAAATTCAAAATTTCATTTGAATAAATTTAGACAGTCTCCCAGCTGGCCTCCTCCTCCTCTCTAGTCAGCCTTAAAATGGCTTTCCAGTGAAGACTGGGAAGAAGCTTTATGCATCCTAGTGGAGAAGATGCTGATGGTAGGGGGAGGGTCCTTGGTAAAGGGGCTCTCTCTGCCCTTTGCTCCCTGGGAACAGGTGTTTTTCCCCTGGAGATGATTGCTTTCTATAGTTTGTTGAAATCTGCAGCTTCTGGAGTCTATGATCCAACCTCTCAGCTTGCTGAGGGCCATATTCAGCTTCTGTGGGCTGCGGCCCTTTCAGTCTTCCATTGGCCTGGGGGGCTACCCCAGCCTCTGCCAAGGAGTGGTCTCACCCTGCCACAGGCAGCCCCATGGTGAGCCTCTTGGCTCATGACTAGGGGGATCTAGGGTGGCTCTGGGCAGGTGACCCTCAAGCTCTCTTCTGTATTTTCCTGAGACTCTGTCTCAGGGCTTTTCCATCTCTCCTTACCTAATTTCACTTCTTCAAACCATTCCCTTCACTTCCCATCCCCTTTCCACTAGAGGAAAAACACAGGAGTCCTTTTGTCTTAGCCCTTGATGTGGTGAAGCAAATAAAAAGATTTAGCAATCTCTGTGCAATTCCCTGCCTCCAGGGGCTCACCTGATCTTCAAGACTTTCTGCACCGCCTAGAAGTTGAAGATAAGCCCTTTCCTATCTTAAGGTAGGGAGCCTCACCTTGCAATGAGGGACTGCAATGAAACATGACTTGTGGAAGAAGTTGAAATGCATCATTTTAGTGTCTATGAGCCATTATCTCTTACTAGTGAGCTCTGTGTTCCCAGAGGAATTCTCACACAATATCCTCAGGCAATCCTCTCACACAATGTTCCCCCCAAAAGGATTATGTTGAAAATCTCTGATGCTTCATCTAATTTAACCCTGACCATTATACAAAATGCTGTATGCATGATTTTGGCCTGAGAAGAAAGGCAAGGTGTTTTTCTGGAAAATTTTATGGAAGATACATTAAAAAAAAAAACAAAACTGATATATTGCCAACTTATTTTAAACAAATATTAGAGATATCATATTTATATCAATCTTCCAAAGAACACCTTGGTAGTGGGGTTGCTTTGTAAATCTTGCTCTTTACCTTCTTTGTTCCAACATACCACAGCAGAGAGGTTAGGCACTCAACTGAAATGATAGATGTTCGTATAATTATTACAGTGTGTTCTTAAGAAAATAAAGTATTGCAAAGTCTATGCCATTATCTGGTTACACACCATTACATCTTTGAGGTAAGGAGAACCTCTTTCCCACATTCGGATGGAAATGTTCCTTTTCATTCAGCACATTTCGGTTCGCTGACCTTAAAAGAAGGCAGAGGGGTTCAACATTGTTACATGGTTTCCCTGGAGGAAGGCAGGTACAGAGATAATATTGTAAGTGATCATTTACTATTTTGTTAAAGATCTAGAGACAGGGTATTATAGCGAGTGTATTCATGAAAGGATTTGTATTAGGGATGAACAGATATAGTCCAGGTTCTGATTTCAGCTCTAAAGGAAAGGACCGTGTCTCTACAATGATGACGAAGTTGAGGAGGCCTGTGAACAGAAGTAACCAGTGCAAACTAAAATATCAAAATACCTGCTTGTCAAACTGTTGGGTAGTGAGGAACGTCATCTAAAAAGGAGCCATTATTTAAAATAGATGTCCTTTGGTAAAGTGTTCACTTTGATAATGATCTGAACTATTTTCAAAACCTATGTTAAACTCAATCTTACTAGTCAATATTTGGAAATATTATACTCCTTCAAGACTAAGACTATAGGCATGGTCTCAAAATTCTTTGGAATAATAGTGAGCTTAAGATTCTAAAAAAAAAAAAAAAGATTTCTTTAAGCCAGTGTGATTCAAATCTGCAGTTTTGAGTGGACAAGAAGTTTAAAAAAGAGGAATAAGAGGTGGGGAATGCTGTTAACTAACATATTATCCCTGCGTGGGTTCAACTCCACACCCCTACTCATTGCCCACATGCCCAGACCAGCTACCGGTGAAGACCTCAGGAGTACTCCCAGCTTTAAAAAACTACAGAAAGATTTACGATGGATCAGAGTCCACTTGGAGAAGGATGGTTTGTGGAGACACTAGAGTATCAAAAGACAGCAGTCCATTTACATTTAAAAAGGGAGAGGAAAAAATCCAAGACATGATAGGCAACCAGGAAAATATTTTACAATGACACATGTGGTTTACATGACTATTCTGGGACTGGCTATGTCTTTGTCTCTATAACCCTTGAACAATTCATTAATCTAGCTAATATTATTAGCAGTGGCAAAATGTCTATTCCAAGTCAATAATTAA